TGACTGCAGGACAATGCAAAACCTGATTTTTAAACCTCCCACTTGCATGAATGAATGTGGATGAGAATATGAGCGTTTCTCTCCCCACATGAACATACCGTAGACGGTGATTTCGTATGACATGCACAGGTCCCGAAAAGCGACCAGGCGCAAAGCAATTGGTTTAGCAAGAAGTCACTAAGCACCAGGGAGCTAATCATGGAGAGATTTCAAGCCTGGTAAAAGCCATAGTGGAGATTGGGCTGACTTTAAAAGTGACCCGAAGAGATCAATACTGTTACTTTAAATCACATTAATTCCTTATTCGGGTGGATTCAGATGCACCCCCCCTCGGCTGCACTGTAGCCTAAGTTGGCCTCACAGTGCAGAGGTGCAGGTTCGATTCTGGCTCCGGCCTGATGTTCCACAAACATGCATGGCAGGCTGATTGAACACTCTAAGCCTTAGAGTCTAAGGGTTCGATCGAACCCAGGTTAAGAACCACTGCTCTAAATTGTCCTTAGTGGTGAGTGTGAGCACGGATGGTTTGTCTGCCTGTTTGCCCTGCGATTGGCTGGCAACCAATTCAAGGTGTACCCCGCTTGTTGTTAGAAGACAGCTGGGATAGGCTCCAGCATGAACCCAGAACTCTCAATTGTGAGGAAGGCCCACTACACCCTATGCAGCCACCTGCAACATCAAAGAGAGAGACACGGTTCAGCACCACGGCTAGTTCTATGCCAGGGCTGAAGGCTACCTGTCCGCAAGCTTGTTGGAGGCGAATGAAGCTGTAAAGACCGTGTTACGTGAATTCAGACATTTTTGTTTCCGCGTTATACACGTTTGAGATGGAGAACTATGTGGGACTCAGTGATGGAGATGTAGCATTTTCTTTTTAATTCACTGGAACCCGAAATCAGGGCCCCAGCCCTTGTGCCGATACTCAGACATGATTCCAGGAGCCTTAATGTTAATTTAATTTCAGCTACCAAATTGTCAGGGTACAGGTCAACTCCCTCGCGATGTCAGAACGCCCACCATGGCGCAGAGCGGTCTGCTAAATTCCCAACAGACAGAACAAGGCTTGCATTTTTACCCAACTCACTGTTAAGAATGCTGGGTTCAAAATAACCCAATTTGGGTTGAAAATAGACAGACCCGATGTTTGGGTCACAAAATTGGGTTGTACACAAAAGTGAAAACGTTGGGTCAAATTGACCCAAGTAGCGAGTCAGTCCATTTTTAACCCATATTTTTTGGGGGGGCTTTTTTATGAGTGCTGTTGTCAGATCACAGAGGAAGGCAGGAGCTGAGATTTCAACCCAAAACCTCCAAAAAGTGGCCACCCTCAAAAGTCAACCCCACAAACATCTTCCCTCATCGAAGCCTTTCGGTCTCCTCCGCCGTCCGACATACCGTGTAGTTAGTTGTGTGCATAAGGCAAATCTGCACACTTGTACAAAGTGCTCTCCTTAGACCAGAGAGTCCGAGGGTCCGGAAAGCCAAAGCCAGGAAAGCAGTTTGGACGCTCTGACAAATCTATTTGGGGCAAATTGTCAGTGAGAAACTTCCGCTCGAACTGCCGTGGACAAAACTGGCTGTTGGGGAGAGCAAATCCCGCTGCACGAGGGTGGGGGACAATGGGGGGCGAATGTGTTGATGTACGGCCGGTGGCTGGGGAGGGACAATGGACGGATTAGTCAGTCCCCTGGCTGACTGATTTGAGATGGCTCCTCTCAGCCTCTCACCGTGGGGAGTCCCATTGTCCCGCTTCTGATTCCCACTTCTCACAAACTCCAAACAAAAGTCAATCTCTTTCTCAAGGGGTGCTGGTGGTGGCGTGAGGGGGGCTGAGTATCGACCTGTGTTCCAGCAGGGGAAAGTGACTCAAAAACGTGCCGTCCGCGCCGGCCGCTTTTTTCCTCGTCGTCTTCATACGCGGCCTTGCAGCAGGCCGGCGGGGGCGAGATTGTCGCTCGCTCGCCGATCCCTGGCTCAATGGCGGCAGGGGGCACCTGTTGGAGGCTTAAAGGGAGGCCGTTCTGCGCCCAGGGGTCATTAATATTAAAATATACAGAGATGCCATCACTGGCTGCTCTGAAATCGGTCTGATGTCGCCCTTGGGTTCCCCTCTCGGGATGGACCTCTGCTTTCAGTAGATAGTGAAGAGCCGTCTTTTTTTTTTTTCTTTCCCCTCAACCCGTCTACCCTTTTCTGTGTGAAAAGACTCATTAACAAATTATGACAGCTGAGTAGAGGGGCTTAGTGTGTTGACACTGCAAAGACAAACACGTGAGAGCCAAGACGGCGGCTTTGACTCGGGAACAGGTGCAGTCAGTTGCTCGTCTCACGTGATCAAGATGAGAGCTAATTTCGATTGAAATCCAAAGCAAAAGCTGTATTAAAAAAAAAAAATCAGCCTTTGCAGGCATACAGTAGTACTGTAACACT